AGAAGTTGTGGAGAGGGACCATTGAGGAGAGGGACCATTTAATTCATGCAGACTCCCTAACATGGTGTTCTGGCATATAACAGACCCTGAGTGGGTATTTGTGGAACTAAAGTCTACTCATTTGCTAAGTCTTGCATAGACCATCAGCAATAGGGTTTTTTGGATCTACAAAGAAAGACCTCCATCACAAGAGCTAAAAAAAAAAAAAAAAAAAGCGATTCTACCCCTTGGAAACATCTATTAGGTTACTTTTGAGGTAAGGCAAAACACCAAAAACAGTGGGCATTTATGCAATCCTACGAGTGACATTTTGTGCTCAAGCATTAATTGGATAAAATATGTTTTCCTGAGAAACTGTGAGATCTCAAATTACACAAAAAATTGCTATGTTAAATGAAAGTATTTGATTATCATTTCCACAACAATTTAAAGAGTAGTGAGAACTAAAATTCTATATATGTCAAATCGCTGCCATTATCTTTAAAAGACTCTGCCATTATCTTTAAAAGACTCACACTTTTAGAGTGAACTAACCCAGATTCTTCTCATCAATGCAGGGCTGGGATATAGCTCTGATGCCATGTATAAGTGTCAGCAAACAATCAAGTCAGTGATCAAAAATGCTGAGTCTCTGGAGATCAAACAGTGATCCTGTTTGTGGGCATCAGTACAATCCCTGTTTCTCCCGAGGATAATTATGTGTGTAAAAGCACATCAGAAAGAAGGGCCCTGCCTAGCCTGACAGCCTCAGCCTTTCCTGCTCAGCTTCTTACGCGCTACTCTTCGGCCATGCCATACGACCCAAGTAAGTTGGCTGTGTTCTCTTGTCCCACTGGTCTTTGCCCATTCTGCTCCCTTTGGTTGGAACATCCTTCTCTGCTTTCCTGACCTAGTTAATCCTTATTCATCATTAAAACTCAGCTCAACCACCATCCCTCTCCTGGGAAATCTTCACTAACCCCTGCACCAGTGCATGCCTGTCTGGTTTTCCCAGAGCACCAGTTTCTCCTCTATATATAGCACTTAGCACTGTGTGCTATGTTAACTTGCTAATGTTCCCAGAGCTGTGAGCTCTTTGAAGGTAAGGCATTTATTTGACTTCAATCATCTCTTTTTCCCAGGCCCAACACAGTGCCTAGTACTGAGTAAGCCCCCAACAGATACATGCTGAACTGAATGAGAGGAAGGGTGAGACCTCAAACGGACAGACTGAGGGACCTCAGAGGCCCCTGAGCTGCAGGGCCTGCTGATACTGTTGCTAGGAGCCAGCTCCTCTTCTAGGCAACAGCTGCAGGCTCCTCCCCCACTTGCCAGACCCTTCTGCAGGTGGTAGAAGCAAAGCAAATGATGGGAGGATACTGCTGCTGGTACTACCAGGGGGAAAAAACCTAACACTCAGACAAAAAATTCCTGTCATGGTGCCAGCTCTTATAACCCACACTCTTGCCAGGGACTGCTGCTAAGGAGATGCCTCACGTATTCTAAGCTCTTCTTCCAGCATCTGGCACCTGCAACCTCACAGACTTTAATCTTGATGAGGAGATAAAGCAGATGCCCTCAGTCTTTATCCCTGGATTTGGGCATTCAGAGCCCTACTCTACCCATGGATCAGAAATTAGTCACCAGGCATGGCCCTAAAAAGGAACAACTTGATTGTAATAATAGAAAGGCAAACTCTATGAGGAGAACATATTATAATGGATCAGCACATCATAAGCTCCCTGACAATGAAACAGGGTCTGCCCATGCATATTACTCCTAACCCTCACCCCAACAGTGTGTTCCACAAACTTTGGAGTCAAATGGACAAATGGATAAATGACCACTTCAGGTGAAAATCAGAAAAGTCTGATTCCATCCAGCAGATGGCACAAGCAGCCTGGGACCAGAGTAAGGACGCTAACCCAGGCTGCCCCAAATCCTGGCAGCTTCTCTTTGTATGGATCACTTTCAAAAAAGGCACAGTTCTGGCTATTTTTTACTTCTAAATTCCTAATCAAATGCTAGTTGTCTTTCTAAATGATGAAAAAACCCCTGTATTTCCTGAAGAGTAAAATCCACATTATCTGTCCAGAAGCCCCAAGGCTCCTCTGCTCTTCAATGAAGGTACTTGAGAAACTAATAACCTTGGTTCAGGAAATCCTGGTAACCTTTGATTTCTACTACTAAATTTGTGCATCTTGCATTCTCTCAATAAGAAGCTTCCCGAGAGTTTGTGAGATACTATAAAATGACCTAAGAATTAAATTAATGTTTAAACCTTGCAAGGTTAAGAATCATAAAGGCAAGAGAATTCCACATACAGCTTCTATACTTGGCTTTGCTTATGCCTGGCTGTTGTACACGGTGGTCTATTATAAATGGGCCCTCAAGCGACAGGGCCTGTTCTACACCATGGCAATAACCCCCTACAAACTCGAAAATTAAAATAATTAGTATCTGCAAGAATGTCCAGTTTAGATCTGCATTAACTATATTTTATATTAGATCAACAGAGTAACAGGGCATTCTGATGGTCTTCCAGCCTGTCTCCAGAGAGGCAGTTTTGTAAACCATACAACCCCACAGAAAAATATTACACAGTGCATATTCTAGTATTCAGTCACCACAAATGATCCAAAGTTACCACAAAGCATTCCATTTCATCAAATGAATAAAATGTAACCTTACTACATAAAGAACTCAGTTCTCTATAGCCTCTTTCAATAAGAGGCAAACTAAAATAATTGATAACTAAATATGACAACTTTTTAGATCTAGAAGCCAGTTTACCAAGCAAGAAGCAGGACCATCCCAATCAAGTGGACTGGAGGGAGGGAACCAGAGACAGAGGCCACAGGATTAAAATTGTGAACCGAATCTATGACTCTCTAATTTGAAGGGAAAAAGAAAGCACCTAACTTTAGTAGGTAAACTAACAATCCCCTAAAAATAAATCATAGTAATGATGGTGACGATGATGATGATACTGGGTGTGATAGCTACCATTTATTAAGCACCCAGCAGTTGCTAAGCATTGTGCTACGTACTCAAAATTAAGTGATCTCACGTAACCCTCAACAATCCTATGAGGTCAGGATTGCCATTTAACAGGTAAAAAGGCTCAGAGAAGTAAAGTAACTTACTTAAGGAACAGAGCTACTAAGTGGCAGAGCCCGAATTCAATCTCAAGGCTGTATTACTCCAAAGCTCAAGCTCTTTCCACTGCATGATGCTGTCTCTCAAGAATAAAAATATGACGTCAGCCTTAAGGATTAAAAAAAGATGTTAAAAATTAATCTCACCCACCTGTTTGATCCTTCTGGTATTCACTGGCTTAAGCTGGGGGGGTGGGGGCAGGGAGGAGATAAAAAAACCAGTGGACATCTGAGGAAAGAGCTGGTGGGAACAGAGCCAGGACAGAGCTACAATGAGGCCTCCCTTCCTCCCTCTGCCAGGGCAGAAATTACCCACATCCACACACCAGGAAAACATCTGTCAAGCCATGGCCTCCATCCCAAGGCTTCAGACACCCTTGGTTTATTTGAAAATGCAGTATTCTTGAGAAAATTTCTACACAAAAACTTGGGAGAGAAACTAGTTCCAAACCACCAATAACCAACTAACGATCTTACCTTGGTTGTTCTGTGTCACCACCATTATTCAATTTTCCACTCCTCTCATTTTTTTCCCTACAGAGTGCACTTTCCTACCTGCCTTCTCACCCATACCCTCTCCTCCCCCAAAGCTTCAAAGGCCCCACCATACCCAGCTCCCTACTTCCCTCCAGGAGCATGCCAATTTCTCCTACATCCTGACACTCTTACCGTTCTTCTACCTGCCAACTCAAGAATTTTTAACATAAAACCCAATCTCTACACTCCAAATCCTAACTCCCCTCCCTTCATCCAGTCCCAGCATCCCTGTCCCTACCTCTCACACCTCAGGCCCTTCCAATCCTACCAAGGCCCTTCTGAAATGAGGTTCCTGGTCCCAAACAGGCAATCCCACCTCCACCTGCCTCTCCTTCCTTCCCTGCACGGTTCCACCCCCACCGGTTCCACCCCCAGGCACTCTTCCTCTGTCCTTCACCAAGTATTCTTCCCTTCCTCCCAGTCTCTGGAATTCCCTCTCCTAGGACTCCAATCTCCCCATTCCTTTTCTTGTCTTCTGTCTATAATCTTCAAAATCCCCTTCCTTCACTCCTCACGATGCCCAACTTCACAACCCACAGCCCCAACTTTTCTTCCCTACACCCAAGACCCCACCCCTTCTATTCCAATCCTAGATCCTTTCCTTCTTACACTTCTCAAATCCCACTCCGTTTTCCCCTTCCTCAGTACTGCAATTCTCCATCCCTCCCTCAATTCCCACGCATGCCCCTCCCCAAGTCCGCCCAAACTAACCCAGCTCCCTTCTCCCACCTTGCCCCCAAATACCCTACGCGGCACCCCGACCCCACCCTTAAACCCATCTCCCACACCCCTTTATCCTCATCCTCACATCTCTCACCCAAACCACACCCCAACCCCGTCCCTCCCGGTCTACCCCTCCCCCACTCCGCCCCTCCCTCACACCCCGCCCCCGCCCCCACTCGCAGCCCCGGGCTGCGTGAGCGGCCCAGCCCGCGGCCGCCACCTACCTGTGCCCCTGCCCGGGGCTGCGAGCGGCAGCTTCTCGGTGGCGGCTCCCTCCTCCCGCGGCGCGGCTGATGGGGGAAGCGGCTCGGCGCCGCGGGCACAAAGCTAGGGAGGGTGGGACCGAGAGAGGCTGGGAGGAGGGAGGGGGCTGGGGGCGACCTGGCGCCGTGGGACCGCGGGGCTGGCGAGGGGCGGGGAGGGGGGGCGGGGGAAAGATGGGCTGGGGAGATGCGCGTGCGCGGACCCGGCATGAGGGGCGGGGCCGGGCCGGAGGCGGGGCCGGGCCCTAAGCAGAAGACCTGAGGGCTGAGGGCTCGGATCCGGGAGACGTGGGGACTGCGCGTGCGTGCTCGCGCGAGGGCGGGTCCCCTGGGTCCTGCAAGCCCCTGGGATTGATCTGAGGTGGGGGAGGGTAGGCGGTGCGGGCTCAGGCACTTGCTTGGGGAAAGGCCCTAAGGTGGGGCTGCGCGGCTCAACCCGCCAAGTAAAGGAGAGCACGGGGGCGGGGCTTGCGGGAGAGGTGGGGCAAAGAACCGGGAGTCTAGAGGTGCGCGCGCTCCGGGGGCGGAGCTGGGGGCTGGGCCGGGCTGCGCGGGGCGGGGCCTGATGGCGGGGAGGAGCGAAGAGCCGGGAGTCGGGATAGGCGCGCGCCCCGGGGGCTGGGCCGAAGGCCGAGACTGGATGCGCGGGGCGGGGCCAGCGGGTGGGATGGAGCGAAAAACCCGGGCAGAGGGATGCGCGCCCCCGGGAACTCCTTGGAGGTCGGGGATAGGGGGCGGGGCCAGGGGCCGGGGGCGCGCTGCGCGGGGCGGAGCGGATGGGAGATCCGGAGCCCGGATAGTCCGCGCGCTTGGAGCTAACGGGAGGCGCAGGCGAGCCGGGTGGTGGGGTGGTGGGACGGCGGGGCGGGTTGGGCCCGCGCTGGTGGAGGTGGGACCCTGCTGGACGCGGCCGGCAGAGCGGGGAGCCGATGGAGAGGGTTGTGAGGAGGCGGACGGCGGGAGGGCGCTGAGGGGCGGCTCGTGAGGGACTTTGACGCAGATACGTTCTCTCCCCTCAGCCCTAGAGACACCAGTGCCGATCCACGAACTTTTTTGAACCCTGAAATAATGTTTTCACTCCCAAAAGGGAAAAACAGTTGCAAATTGAAGTTAATTAGTTTACCAAACTGTAACCTTTCAACTGCTGCGTAACCCGTATATTATGAATTATAGTTAATGTAGGATGTTGGCTCATTTAATATATTTTATGTAATTTGGGGTGGGGCGTCCACAAGCCTGAGTGCTTAGGACCCTCGGAGGGCTTGAAATGAATGGCCCTGGACCGAGAAGGGTTTGGGACGGGGCGAGGAGGTGGTGTCAGAGCTGGTTTGCCCTTCTAGTAGATACTAAGCCGTAGGCCCTGGCCTTGGGAGTCAGAGGGTGGCCATTTTCTAATTTACACAAAAGTTCCCAGTCAGGGGGAGAGTACTAAGTCAGGGATAAAGTGAACTGCGGACTTGACCCCTCGAGGTTTTCAGAGAGAAGGGCCAGAAGGATGTGACCTGGAGATGAAAGGGTGGCTCAGTGGCCCTGGGACAGGGAAGTTCAGGGTCAGAGACCATGCAAAATGCAGAGGAGGGCACCCCAGAGCGCACCGCCTTTAGTAATCTAAGCCCTGAGGGAATATATGTATATTTATTTAGAGTAAGGTATCCCAGGGTGGGGGGTTAGACTACAACGCAAACCTGCACCTTGGTGTTCTGGAAGCAACATTCTCTGTGGGTTTCTTTGGGGCTGGTTTGTCACTTTCTCTTTAACCGAACCAAGGAACCTTAAAGAGACTCAACTTCTGCCATTAAATAATTACACCCAACATAGGAAATAGGAAGGATATTGATGGATATAGGAGGTATGAAATGAATTTTGTGTTAAAGTACATGGCTTTCCTCAGACAATTTAGATGATAAGAATGTGAGGCAAGGAAAGAACTGAACATTTAGAGAGTATATTCTTTTCCTTATTCTTATACCAAACATCAATGCTAGATATTTTTCCCTAAAATATAACTTATTAAAAGCAAGTTCTTTCCCTAAGTCTCCAACCCTCACATTTGCACCCCCAAATATATTACCATAGGGTTTTTCCACCTCTGTATTCACATTTGGGGCTAAATAATGATTTGTTGTGGGCGACTGTCCTGTGCATGGGGATATTTAGAAGCCTAGTGAAATGCTCACTAGATGCCAATAGCATCACACCCCTCCCTCCCAAGTTGTGACAGCCAAACTGTCTTTCAAAATTGTCAAATGTCCCTTGGGGGCAAAATCACCTCCAGTACTGTTGAAAACCACAGGATAGAACCTATTGTGTTTAACTTGGCTTCTAAAATCCTTCACTATCTGTTCTTCAATCTGTGTTCCCTAGGAATTGATCCAGTCTAAAAGAACCACCAATGCAGGAATCCTTTCTTTAGTTTCCTCCATAAATTATCACCTACTCTTCTTGGACACTTTCAGGGATGGAAAAGACTTAAAATTTTTACTTTGCCAGTAAGTTCTATCTGTGATGTCTTCCTGCTTAGAATTTGTGTTTGTTGAGTCCAGTTCTCCCTCTTGGAGTTGTAAAAGAAAAATTCTAATGCTTTTTCCATTTTTGAACACTTGTGATATTAATCACATTTCTCTCTTATCTCTCTTTTGAAATATTTCAGCTAACTCTTTCAACTTTCTCCATGTGATAATTTATAGATCATCATGAACTTTTTGTTTTCCTCTGACAATATCAAACCTGACAATGTCCTACTTAATATATACTACCCAGAACTGATGTAGTATCTGGATGTAGATCACACCGTTAGCACGTAACGTTATAATATTAGTTGCATGCTTGTTCATCTTACTTGACTCTGAACTTGAAGGCAAGAACTACGTCTTAGTCACCATCTTTGTCTTAGGTTGTAGTCATATTTGCATTATTAGCAAGCACAGTGCCTGGTCCTTAGGTGGTATCTAAAAAAAATTTTTTTTAAAGATTTTTTTTATTTATTAGAGCACAAGCAGGGGAGTGGCAGAGGGAGAGGGAGAAGCAGACTCCGCACTGAGCAGGGAGCCCCACGTGGGGCTTGATCCCAGGACCCTGGGATCATGACCTGAGCTGAAGGCAGACGCTTAACTGACTGAGCCACCCAGGTGCCCTGGTATCTAAAAATTTTGATGGAGGTAGTTCCTCCTTAACTCTGTTAATATAATCTAAGATTGTATTCCTTTACCTTTGGGGGCAAATACAGTACACTCTTGCCTTATAGTGTGACTTTGTAATGAGCCAAACCTATATGTTTTACACATCTAGATCAAGGGTCAGCAAACTTTTTCTGTAAAGGGTCAGATAATAAATATTTTAGACTTTATGAACCTTATAGTCTCTATCACAGCTACTGTGTCACTATAACACAAAAGTAGCCGTCGACTACTTTGTATAGTATTTATATGTGTATATATGGATGACCATGGCCAAGTTCCAATAAAACTATTCATGGATACTGAAGTATGTATTTCATATAATTTCATATAATCTTCATGTGTCACAAAATATTATTTTAATTTTTAAAAGTATTTAAAATAAAAAGCATTCTTAACTCATGGGCCATACAAAAACAGGTGGCAGGCTAGATTTAGCTCATAAGCAGTAGTTCGCCAACCCCAATCAAGACCAATCTTTGTGTGATTGACTTTTTAAGCCTGAGTCTAGGCCTTTATTGTTATCCTTATTAAATATATTATTCATCATATCCCATCTTTCTTTCTTGCTCAGATCTTTTTGTGTGCTAATTCTGTCATCTAGCATATTAGCTGACATCCCAGCTTTGTGTCATCTGCAAAATTGGTAAGAATACTTTTTCTATCTTTAATTAATAAAAATGTTGAATGGCATAAGGACAGAGGTCTTCCACAGTTCATTTTGTTCCATTAATCATCATTCTTTGAGCATAGCCATTCAAAGAGTTAAAAAATTTTACCTAAAGTACTGCCTGTCCCCCAACCTACATTTCTCCATCTAGTCCATATGGAATCTTGAGGAGCTTTCTCTGAAGTTTTGTTGAAATATTCAGAACATGTCCCTAATTGGTACTAACTCTATCAAACAAGCAAAAAGAAATGTATAGGTTTGGCATAACCTTTGTGAACTAATGTTACTGCTGCTTTCTATTTTACTACTATCTTTATGTTTTCAGGGCTATCATTTTATATATTTTATATATATCATTTTATATATATTTTATATTTAATGAAGTTTAATAAATTTTAGAATTTTGTTGAGAATTAGCATCCAAGTTCATCAATCTGTATTTCTAGGAATTGACCATGTTTCTTCAAACCACGTACTAACAGTGTTCATCTAACACTAGTTCTCTAGTATCAATAGTATTAAATGCAAGAAAAAAGCCAAGAGAAGAGGCACAAATAGAAAATGTTAGAACACATGCCTTTTTTCTTGACCAGTCTTACCATGGCTTTTAACACTATCATGCTAGATTTTAAAATTACTATAAAAAATGAACTTTATGCCAATAAATATAAAGATTAAGAAGAAATATATAATGTTTCTACAAAATGTAAATTTCAAAATTGACCTAAGATGGTGTAGAAACCTGAAAAGAACAGTTGAATTTGAAATAGTAAAAAAAAAAAAAAATCTATCTACAAAGATTTTACCAGGTTTACAGGATCAAATAACCTCTGTCTTTTACAAATTGCTCCAACAACTAGAAAAGGGGGAAGCTCTGTACCTTATTTATGTTGGGAGTACAATCTTGATTATAAACCAGATACTCAGGCCATTGTGCGTCCAACTTTTGATTTCTGCTCAGGTCATGATCTCAAGGTTGTGAGATCAAGACCCACCCCCCCTCCCTGTCGGCCCCCGCACTCAGCTTGGAGCTGCTTGTCTTTCTCTCTGCTCCACCTACCCCATATAGCTGAAAATTTTCCAATTTTTTGTAGAGTGTGTTTACTGATAACAAATACTTTCAGCTTTTGTTTGCCTGAAAATGCCTATATTTTGCTTTCACTTGCAAAGGATATTTTTGCTGGATGTAGAATTCTGTATTTTGTCTGTTAGCACTTTAAAGATGTCATTCCACTGTCTTTTGGCTTCCATTGTTTCTGATGAGAAGACAATTTTTATTCCTGTTCTCCTAAGCGTAATGTGTTTTTTGCTTTGACTACTTTTAATTTTTTATCTTTTCTTTAATTTTCAGTGATTGACTAAGATGTGTCTAAGTGGGGTTTTCTTTGTAGTGTTTATCCAATTTAGGGTTCAAGAGCTTCTTGGATCTTGGGTTTATGTCTTTCATAGACTTTGGAAAATTTTCAGCTGTATCTGTTCAGATTTTTCTTCTAAGCTACTCTTTTTCTCTTCTCCTTATGTATTACATATATTTCTGAATAGTTTGATAGTGTTTCACAGGTATCTGATGCTCTGTTCTGCTACTTTCATTTTTTCTCTATGTTTCATTTTGGATCATTTCTGTTGACCTATGTTTAAGTTTACTGACCCATCCTAATGTTGAGTCCAGTCTGATGCTAAGCCCATCTAATGAATTCTTTATTTGAGATACTATACTTTTCAGTTCTGGAATTTTCATTTTGTTCTTTTTTAGAGTTTCAATTTCTCTGCTAAAATTCCCTTTCAATTCACCCATTTTGTCCATCTTTTCACTAAATTATCTAACAGATTCATAGTAGCTATCTTTGCTAATTCCAATACTTGGATCATCTATAGATCTAATGAAGTGATTTTGTACATTGGATATTGTGTTTAAAAGAATAATAGACAGTGAAGTAGATAATGACTTATCCCAGAGAGAACTCACTATTTTCTTTGCCCCACAGCCAGGATAAGGGGCAGATCACTTCAGTCCACCTAGGGATTGGACTGACTTGTAGTTTTATTTAAATAGTTTCAGTTTACCTCTGATTTCAGATACTTGGGAGTGAGATCAATTCCCTCCATCAGGGGTTTAGGATCTAAGTACCCAAGATCAAAGAAATCTTTCTTTGCTTTCCAGTTCATACACCCAGTTTCCTGTGAAGCTCCACTTAGGGGATGGTTTCTTTGATCTTATTAGGGGTTGAGATGGGTTGGGGCTGGGTTGTAATTTTACTTCACTTTACTTAGTTGCACTTTAACTCTGTGACACAGCAATATGGCTAAGTCTCAAAAACATAATGAGTGATAGAAACCAGATACAAATGAGTACAAGCTATATGATTCTATATATATAAATTTCAGGCAAAATTAATCTATTAGAAATAAGGACCATGCTTATGTTGGGGAGGAGGGAGGGAAGTGATTGGAAGGGGGCATGCAGAGGGCTTCTCAAGTGCTGGTAATATTCTATTTCTTTACCGTGGGTGGTGATTACCTGGGTGTGTTAACTTTGTGAAGATTTATCGCTCTATATAATTCTGATTTGTGTTCTCTTCTTTATGTATGTTATAGTTCAGTAATAAAAAAAAAGTGCTTGGGGGTGGGTAAATGCACAAGAAAACAAAGTCAAAAAGAAAAATCAAGCTACAGAGTGGTAGAAGATATTTGCAACACATATAACAAAGGATTTGTATCCAGAATGTTTTATTTTAAAAATCCCTACAAATCAAAAAGAAAAGGACAAAAAAATTTTAAAAAGCACCCCAATAGCAAAATGAGCAAAGGATGAGGAAAAGCAAATAACAGAAAAAGAGGCCTCAATGGCTCATAATCATATGAAACAGTATTCAACCTCACTAATAATCATGGAAATACAAAGTATAACCTGTTGAGATACCATTTCACACCAATGAGATGGGCTAAAGCCAAAATATCTAATACCAAGTTGGTGAGAATATGAGGAAGCAGAAACTCTCAAACACTGCAGATGGTAGTGTAAATTGTTAAAATTTCAAGATCAAATTGATCAATTACTGACTTGAAGATATGCTGATTGTAAGTTTCTGCAATTTTACTTCTGTAAAGAAAGATACTCTTACCATAAAGACTTTCTCCCACAAATGCTAAGGATACATACAAAGGTATACATTTCAACTTTGTTTATAATAGCAAAAAATTGGAAACACCTAAATATTCATCATTAGAGAAATGGAGAAATACCTGACAACAGTTAAAGTGAATAAAGTAGGTTTACATGTATCAACATGATAAAAACTTGAAAACATAATATTGAATGAAAAAAGCAGGTAGTATAAGGATATATATACTGAGAAATCATCTAAGTTTTAAAAGGACAGTACATAGCGTTTATGGATACGTATATGATAAAAGTATAAAATACAGTAAGGAGGGATACTCATCAACTTAAGAATAGCTATTACCTCTGGACAAGGAAGGAAATGGGCAAAAATGTTAACATTTATTAAATCTAGGCAGTGGGTACGTAGTTGTTTAATATATGTGATACTCTGTGCTTTGTCTATTATTTATTTGAAATAGTTTCATTTTTTTAAAAAGTCAGCCGGAGGCCAGGGAATAGTTTCATTTTTTTAAAAAGTTAGCTGGAGGCCAGGGTATGAAGGGTATTGGAAGCCTTCCTTCTTTTTTCAAACACTCTTTGTCTTTTAATTCTTTATAGATACAGCTTTTATAGTCACTTTGCATTTATATATTGGTTTGTGCCCTGTCACCACCAGATCAAGGAGGAGAGTGGGTGAGATCTGATAGAATCTTCTCTCACCTTCTCTGTCTAATCCACCAAGGTCCTTATCTTTTCAGGATATTTTTATTAAACTTAAAATATTACCATACAATAGAAATGTCTTTAAATCCATGACCCAAGTGACTGGTATAGAATTTAAAAATAAGCAAAGTTTGTCTTCTCTCTTATTTTACATTCTGCTCCAAAAAATAATGATGGTAAGATATTTTTTAGCATGTGAATAATATTATTTGCTACTTCAGTTGATAAATGTATGGATAAACAGTCACGTGGGGCTGGGTGGCTCGGTTGAGCATCTGACTCTTGATTTCAGTCATGGGTTCAAGCCCTGAGTTGGGCTCTGTGCTGGGCGTGGAGCCTACTTTAAAAAAGAAAAAATAAAACCAATCACGAAAACATCTGTTTTTATGCTCCAGATTTTTTTTTAATTTCAGAAATATAATGATATAAATAATTTTTTTAAATTTACCCATTAATTCATGTTACCTTAGCCTGTTAACTGTTTCTCTGTCATTATTGAGGACTTTTAATTTTAGAATCAGAAAAATGATGTCAGTTAGAGTAGTTAGTGTCTTGTTTTGTGGAGTAGAATAGTGGAAATAGTCATTATCTTACAGATTATTCCTGGGGAAGGTTAGAAGTTTACTTATATAAATAAACATGTTAGGGTCCCTCCCACTTGTTGAATAGCTTGGTTGTTAAGCTGTGTGCTAGGCAACAGGCTTTCTCTCTCCCTTTTCTCGGATAAAGTTAAGAGAACCAAGAATTTGCTTTTGTTATTATTGTTTTATTTGCAGGTTAAACACTTTAAGATGAGAAAAATTGATCTGTGTTTGAGCTCTGAGGGGACTGAAGTGATTTTAGCTACATCAAGTGATGAAAAACACCCACCTGAAAATATTATTGATGGGTAAGAGTTACTATTTTTTCTTCCTTAAAGTCTTGATATTAGGTCAGTGAACCCCTTGAGTACTGGGACTATGCTTTACAACAACTAGAACTTTTAAACATAGTTTAATAAATGCTTGGTGAAGTATATTACTTGACAATATCCACCTTTGGTACCATTCCTGAAACAAATTCAGTTGTGCATATTTAGGTTTTTGATCCTTTTCTTTATAATTTTTAAACTGACCTTTTATACAAATAGTTTTTTAAGAAGTGGTTTAACAAGGCAAAACTTTAAACAACTGTCTCATTTTAGGGAAGAGTACATTGTAATATCTGGTTGTGATTTTATTCCAAGTTTTTTTAGTAGATAGGAAGAAAACATTATAACTTCTCATTATTGCCTATTTCCTTAGTGGTCTAAGCAACATTTGCTGAACTGAAGGCTTGACTTCCTGCTATCTACCTGCATTGTTTGGTTCTCAGTTTCTTGATTTCATTCCAGTTTCCTCTCTTTACTGTGTTAGAGCTTATTCAAGGTAGAGATAAATATCATTCTCGGACTTTTAAATTCCAAGAAAAAATAGTTAATGGAAAAACTCCTTTTTTGATAGTTGTGACTATTTTATTACTCTCTTGGTTTCTCTTTCTTGGTATCTGTACAATGACCAAAGTTTGATTCATAGAATCATATAATTTTAGAGCTGGAAGGACTTAGGAATTTATCTTATCTAAACCTTTCATTTTAGAGTTATGGTAAGAGAGGTCTAAAGAGGTCAAGTACTAGTTTTAACTACTGAAGGCAGAGCCAGTTATAACACAGATCTTGTGGTATTTTTGTGTTCTATTGTAAATTCCATGTATCTGGATAAAATTCTAGCAACTAACCTCTTCCTTTAAGCCTAATAGTTATCTCTTCTCTGACCTCTGTCCCTTTGGCCTCATGTAGGATTAGTTTACCTTTTCGTCAGACTCCAAAAGAATTTAGTATATGCAGCTATTACCTTTTTATCCCTTTATTGTATAATTATTTATTTAATATTTGTGTCCTCTCTTAACTATGAATTCCTAGAAGTTAGAGACTATGACTTACTCATCTTTGACTCCAGAATGTCTTAAAATAATTGTTGAGTAGCTTGTTGAATTAGATCATCAAATATCAGTCAAATTCAATTAATACTGTAAAGTAGCTGAGTATACACACACACACACAAACATACATATATATATGTATATATGCATGTATTATTTTATATTCGCATAGGGCTTTATCGTTTCATAGATGTTATGTCATTTGACCCTCACCATAAGCTTGGGAAATAAGAGGCAAAATATTTTTAAAATGTATTTTCAACCTTATTTTAAAGATGAGGAAAAGTATTATTGGAGGTAAAGATGACTTGTTCAAAATTACACAGATAACCAAGTGGTGGAATCAAAATTAACCTCATGTCTTCTAACTCCCAGTTTGGGGTTCTTTGTATTATACTATGATAACTCAAACTTTAGGGTTTTTGTTTGTTTGTTTGTTTGTCTTAAAGATTTTATTTATTTATTTGACACAGAGAGACATAGCAAGAGAGGGAACACAAGCAGGGGGAGTGGGAAAGGGAGAAGCAGGCTTCCTGCCGAGCAGGGAGCCTGATGCAGGGCTCGATCCCAGGACCCTGGGATCATGACCTGAGCCGAAGGCAGACGCTTAATGACTGAGCCACCCAGATGTCCCGAAAACTACCATTTTTATGACTTCGTTATACCTAACTATGAGAATTCAGTTGTATGTCGTTTAAATATTTATTTATTTATTTATTTTTTAAACTCCAGTATAATTAACATACAGTGTTACATTAGTTTCAGGTATAAAATATAATTATTCAGCACTTCTGTACATTACTCAGTGCTCATCACAAGTATACTCTTAATCCCCTTCACCTATTTCATCCATCTCCCCACCCACCTCCCCTCTGGCAACTACCAGTTTGTTCTCTATATATGAGTCTGTTTTTTTTTTTTTTCCATATTTGTTTAGTTTCTTAAATTCCACATATGAGTGAAATCATGTGGTATTTGTCTTTCTCTGACTGACTTATTTCGCTCCATCCATGTGTTGCAAATGACAAGATTTCGTTCTTTTTTATGGCTGAGTATTATTCCACTGTATGTATACCACATCTTCTTTATCCATTCATCTATGGATGGACACTTCGGTTGCTTCCATATTTTGGCTATTGTAAATAATGCTGCAGTAAACATGGGGGTGCATGTATCTTTTCAAATTTGTGTTTTCATTTTCTTTGGGTAAATACCCAGTGATGGAGTTACTGGATCATATGGTGATTCTATTTTTAGTCTTTTGAGCAACTTCCATACTGTTTTCCACAGTAGCTGCACCAGTTTGCATTCCCACCAACAGTGTATGAGTGTTCCTTTTTCTCCATATCCTTGCCAACACTTCTTGTTTCTTGTGTTGTTGATTTTAGCCATCCTGACAGGTGTGAGGTGATATCTCATTGTGGTTTTGATTTGCATTTCCCTGATGATTACTGATGTTGAGCATCTTTTCATGTGTCTGTTAGGCCATCTGAAATGTCTGCTTGTCTTCTGCCCATTTTTAATTGGATTATTTGGGGGTTTTTGCTGTTGAGTTGTATAAGTTCTTTCTATATTTTGGATATTAACCTCTTATTGGATATATCATTTGCAGATGTCTTCTCCCACTCGGTAGGTTGTCTTTTTATTTTGTTGATGGTTTCCTTCACTGTGTAAAAGCTTTTTATTTTATTTTGGTGTAGTCCCAATAGTTTAATTTTGCTTTTGTTTCCCTTGCCGGAGGGGATATATCTAGAAAATGTGTCTACGACGGATGTTAAGACATTACTGCCTATGTTTTCTTCTAGGAATTTTATGGTTTCTCACATTCAGGTCTTTAACCCATTTTGAGTTTATTTTTGGGTATGGTGTAATCAGGTGGTCCAGTTTCATTCTTTTGCATTTAGCTGACCAGTTTTCCCAACACCATTGTTGAAGAGACTCTCTTTTTCCCATTGCATATTCTTGCCTTTTTTTGTCATAGATTGACTGTATACTCATATATGTCACTTTTTAAAATATTTTATTTATTTATTTTGAGAGAGAAAGAGAGTGTGTGACCCGGGGGAGGAGCAGAGGCAGAGGGAGAGAGAAAATCTCAAGCAGACTCCATGCTGAGCGCAGAGCCCGACATGGGGCTTTATCTCACCACCCTGAGATCATCACCTGAGCCCAGATCAAGAGTCAGACGCTTAACCAACTGAGCCACCCAAGCCGCCCCTGCCCCTATGTCATTTTTAAAACCAGTACATCTCTATATACTATTTGATGTTGTTACATTGGTCATGTTCATTAAAATCACCTGAGAAACAGAGGGCAATTAAAAGTCATTTAAATAAATAAAACTTAAAACCATATAACTATAAATAAAAAATAAATTGTGAAATAGTAAGCATAGTATAAAAAATCGAAAATTGTGAGTTGGACCTATATTGTTTTGTTTTGTTTTTGGTAACAGCTTTATTGACAGATAATTCACATAGTGTGCAATTTACCCATTTAAAATGTACAATTTATTGGCTTCCCGCATATTCAGAGTTATGCAGTCATCTCCACAATCAATCTTAGGGCATTTCATTACCCCCCAAAAAACCTTGCAACCCATTGCAGTCACCTTATATTTCCCCTATCGCCACCAACCCTAGGTGCTCACTAATCTACTTTATATCTCTATAGATATACATGTTTTCAGGGTTCATCCATGTTATAACACATCTCTGTGCTTCATTCCTTTTTATTGACAAATAATATTCCATTTCATGGATATAGCACATTTTATTTATCCATTCATTAGCTGGTGGATATTCAGGTTATTTCTACTTTTTGGCTGAATGTTCTCCAATCTTATTAAAAAATGCCAAATTATAAATCCAAGAAACTCAGGAAACCCCAAGCAAGATACATATAAAGAGACTATACTGTAATCTGCTGAAAAATAAAGAAAAAAAATTTAAACAGCTGCAGAAAAAAATACATTAACTACAGGGGAACAGTAGTACCAGTGACAGCTGACTTTGCATCACAAACAGTGGAATACAGGTGACAATGGAATAGTAACATAAATGCTGAAAAAGAAACAACAAAAAAACCCTGTCAACTCAGAATTCTGTATTTAGCTAATATATTCTTCATAAATGAGGGTGAAATAGAGACATTTTATTCACCACAAGTAGACCTGTATCACAGGAAATGTTAAAGGAAGTTCTGCATGTTGGAGTGTTAATAATACTAGATGGAGATTTAAAACTACAGCAAGAAATTAAGTGCATTGGAAATGATAAATGTAAAAAAACTATTTCTTTTAATTTTTTAAAAATTCAACTGACCACCTAATGGGGAAAAACACATTGTACTGTGGGATTTATTATGTATATGTGTAATAAATGTTATATATGTAAATGTAAAATATATGAAAATAATGGCACAAAAATGGAGTTAAATGTAAATTGACTATCACGAGGTTATGACCTTGAGAATAACCACACACACACACACACAAAGAAAATTAAATGGAACTTTAGCTTTTTTTATTCAGTCAAAAGTAGATAGAATAGGAGAAATAGAATAAGAAAAAAATAGATAGGAGGGACAAATAGAAAATGAATAGCAAGATGGTAGACTTAAACCCAGCCATATCCATAATTATATTAAATGTCAAGGGGCTAAACACTTCAATTAAATAATAGAAATTGACAGAAATTGTCAGACTGGGTAAAAATACAACACACAGGTATATGCTCTCTGCAAGAGATGTACTTTAAATATAAAATCACAAATAGGTTGAAAATAAAAGGATGAAAAAGATGTATCCTATAAACACTAAACATAAAGTGGCTGTGGCTATATTCCTATCAGACAAAGTAGAATGTAAGATAAGGAGAATTACCAGAGATAAAGGGGACATTTTATAATGTTTGAGCATTCTTTCATCAG